ATTTGCCCCCAAATCCTGAGAGAGATGAGTGTGCTAATTAAGCTTCTCATAGGCCATATACTCTTGGCCTGGCCTCTTTCCCCTTCATCTCTTTTCTTTAAGGTGCCACAATATAGACCCAAATACAGATATTGGCTCTGAAGTGGGACAGGTACTGGGAGTGAAGTGGGAATGTCACTGGTGGCAACAGGCATCACTCACTAGTATCAGCTGCCAGTTGTCATTGTCAGAAACTGAGGTCAAGTGATGTAATGGTGCTTGGGAAGAGCTTTGAACTCTTGTTGAAGAGAGTTTCACAAGGTTTTAGGTGTATGGAATGGTATTAGAATTACATTTTAGGTTTGATGACGTTGTTCATTATTATATATTATATATATTATGTAAATAATAGTATATCTATTTTTTTGTGTCCAAAATTTACTATGTACTAGATATTGTTCAGAGTTCCTGATCCTTTGACTGATTTACTTACTCATTTATCTACCTATCCATATACCTATATTATAAAAAAATTCTAAGCTCTCTGACAGTGTTGTAGGTCCTAATGGATATGAGAGGAAAATAAATCATGACCTTTACCATTCAAAGCCAGCTTTATAATTGGAGAGAACAGACTAAGAAACAGCTAACATTCAGTGAATTTTGCCTAAGGGGTGAAAAGAGTGATAGGGAAAATAAATGCTATTGGAACAGGCATGAAGTTGGAAACTATGTACTAGACTGGCTTGGGTTGTGGAGGGCAGTCCAAATGTTGTAGAAGGGGGAGAAAGTTCTTAGAGGAGAACAGCTCTCTCTAGATCTCACGTACGATTTGTTGCAGTAGAAAGAATACCGTGAGGGAATTAACCAAAAGTACTTGGGCTTTATTTGAGATTTGTCCACGTAATAAGTTCTACCATTTTAAAGGCCCCAATGAAGCTTTGAACTTACCACCTCATTGCCGAGAGCATGATGACTTTTCATTCCGTGTGGTCTTGCACTCAAAGCAGACAGAAGACCCTGAGTACACCAGCCAACAAATCCTTCTCCTGTCCTCTGCCACCCCCCGCCTCCCCTGCTGGGGGCTCTGGGCTCCATTTGTCCAGGGGGCCATTCATGGGTATAATGTTTCCTACCCGACAGCCCCAATGGCACGCATCCAGTCTGTAATTCTTTTCAACCTTCTTCCTTTCATTTCAGAGATCCCCTTGCTCATTTTCAATCTACCATTATGTATTAAGGGCCTACTAAATGAAAAAAGGTACTAGATAAAGACCTAGAAATGTCTGGTATTATTGTTTTTAAGCCCTGAAGGGGAGACAGACAAGTACAGTAGTTCCCCTTTATCCAAGGTTGTATTTTCTGTGGTCAACCAAGGTGTGGAAATAATGACATTCAACAAGATGTTTTGAGAGAAAGCGAGCACATAATTTTTGTTGAAGTATTTCATTTTCTCGTGGTTTACAGTCCCCCACAAGGCATCTTTCACAGACTGCTTTCTAATGCGAGTTGTCTTGGGGTAGGCTTGACTTCTCACTAAAGAGCAAGCTGTAGATAGCAGAGGGCTGTCTAAATGCAGGCATCCCACCTATTTCATTTTTAGTTATCATTAATCTCTTATGGTGTGTAATTTACACATTAAACTTTATCACGTGTATAGGAAAAACACAGCATGTGTTGGATTCAGTTCTATCCACAGTCTCAGGCATCCACTGGGGAACTTGGAACCTGTTTCCCAGAGATAAGGTGGGATGCCTGCATTAGACAGACCTCTGCCATCTACAGCTTGCTCTTTCGTGAGAAGTCAGGCCTACCCCAAGACAACTTGCATTAGAAAGCTGTCTGTGAAAGATGCCTTGTGGGGGATCGCAGACCACGAGAATAAAGATGAGAAGGTCTCTGACATAGTCTTCCTTATCTTGGTTTCACTCCTGACCACCACACTTTCCATTTGCTCTGAGGATCCAAGAAACCTGTTTGGGTAAAGGCAGACTATTTCCTGTTTCCTCATAGGCTTTGGGGGGGCAAGACTAGATTTTTCTTTACTCCTAAATGGGAGTAAAGAAAATATTTGGTTTTTTTTTATTTGAGCTTCATGGGCATTTTATTAATACAGCCTTCCTCATGGATGTTAGGTTGTGAAAAATTGCTATTGCTGCTCTTTGAATGAGCAGAATTCTCACAGCTCTCTTTATGACACCTGCATTTGCTTGCCTACTGCCTGACTGTGGCTAGGAGAGTGGACAGAAGTTGTGGAGTGAAATGTGTCCATAGGAAACCAGCAAGTCCTAAGGGAATTCAACCCTTGACCTTGGTCTCATGCACATTATTACGCCCTGAGCAACTGAACTAATTGCCCACTATTTAGCAGATTAGATCAACAACAGGACCTAAAAGAGTTGTTAATAGTAAGCCAAAGATAGTAACTCAGTGGAGCAATGCCTTGGCACCAAAAGAGTCTGCTTAAATATTTTTAGGCAAGTTTGTTTAGATAATTATACCTTATATATAAATAAATATAAATTTATATGTATATATAAATATGTACACACATGTAGCCTATATATGCGTATATAGCCACTGTACTTTATCACTTTTAATCACTTTATTATTCATTAGTTATTGTTTTTACTTTGTCTAATTTATCAATTAAATTTTATCATAGGTATGTATTTATAGGAAAAAAGTGTATATGGGTCCAGTACTGTCTGTGACATAGCTATATGATATATATATATATCATATAGTAGTTTATATTTGCATCCATGTGTATATATGTATATGTGTGTGTGGGGAGAGAGAGAGAGAGAGATAGAGAGAGAGAGAGAGAGAGAGGAATTAAGACTGCAAAGTGGTTAGTATGGTCAGAAACCAGGGAGATTTTCCAGTAGCTCAGCCTCTCATGCTGCATTTTTGTAGAGTAAGTGGCTCCCCGTCTCTGGGCCGTAGTTTCCGTGTTTGTCTGTGGGTTAGTTTAGGATTATCTAAGTAATAAATGGGGTAGGTGGGGGTGGAGGGGTTAAGCTTTTCCACTAGAGTTGTCCAGTCAGCGAGTAGGGTGAAATGGGTGCCTTAGGGATTTTGGAGGCAGAGGGTAGTCTCACCAGTGTTGACATCATTTTATTTGTTGGTCTAAACATTCACCTAAATGTATTCTGTCCCATATCATGTTTGTTTACTGTACAGTGTACCCTGTCTTCAAGTTGTGTAAAATCAGCCCGTCGGGAAGATTTACCATGTTTATCTGGCTCTTCGAGGGACTCCTGGCAGTCCTGCTTTATTGAATCAGGAGGTTGCAGTGAGGAGTTTTAAACTGGCTCTTGGGAGCTCTGAAGCTACAAGGAAGCTCCCTGGGGTAGTCACTGAGCTTTGTGTAAAGTTAGACTGAGATACTTCTGGAACACTCTTTCATCTTGGCTCTTTTAGTAAGTAGATGTAACATTTTCTTTAGTTGATATAATTTCTAGGTCTATTTTTTTGGCTTTGTAGTTGTAATGTGACTGGTGATACAGGTATGAATGGTGTGTAGGACACAGTGTCAAAGTAAGCCAAGCCGGTTTCTAAAAACATCCTGTATTCACACACAAAACAGGAATTAGAGGTGTAGATACATCTTTAATGAAAGAAAATTTAATTAATTCGCCCCTGCAACAATCATCATAAATCAATGGCAGACCAGAAAAGGGGAGGTTAATGTGTTTTCTTTCTAAGTTTAGGATTCCTCCCATCTCCCCATTATACATGGGATTTCATGTAGTATGTAGCAAGTTGTTAATATTTCTTCATACAGAAATTTTTGCCCTATGTTTCAGAAACATTTTTTGGTAACCCGAAATGACTAAGCAAATTCCAGAAAATTCTGTTTTTTGTAAGTTATAAAAATTACCATATAATCCCTTTAAGGTCTGCCTTAGCTGTCTTTGCCCAGAAGGAATTAATCCTCAAGACTTTACAGTCTCAGATGAAGAGAAGTGATTGGTCAAAATTCTGTAAACCTCACAGAAATCTGTTGCATTGCTTTCTATAAACCACAGCCAGAGCTCATTCATTGAAAAATGAATGTCAATTTGCATTAGCTCGCATCTGTAAACCAAAAGGTACAGTGACCCTGGCATGCAATGGGTAATAAAAACATCAGCAAAATGTATCAGGTAAAAGAGAGAAAGTTGGGGGAGGGGAAGATGTTTAGGGAGAAGTTCAAAACCATATTGGAGTTTACTAGCTGGGCCCCACATAAAGGGTTTTAATGGGGCTTCTGCATCAAAATAAGGGAAACCACATGGAGTTTTAATTATGGCTACAGTGTGTTTTAAATACAAATACCCACAAGAAGCACTTTTTACATTGACAAGCCTAACTATGTGAGCACTGTGCTTCTGTGGGGGTCAGACATTGATGTTGTAAGTGTGACTTCTTTCTCTTTGAAATTGCTCACGTTATTCTGGTTTCTCTCACATGATCTAAGCATTGAACTTAATGCGTACAGAAGTAGCCTGCCTATAGCTATTAGCTCTGCCAAGTCAAGTTCACCTAGATGCTCTGCAGCGAACAGGCTGGCCGAGGAACATCTGTGGCCTCCGTGCGGGGCCTATATCCTGTAGGCAGTGCATATGCACGCGCTGGGCAGCCGGTAAATCTCATCTGCTCCCATTTGCGATTCTGTCATAATCACTGCTTCTACAGTTTGAAACTTAAGTTTGTCAGAATTTCGTATTTGGGAGGGGTTAGGTAGAGGCCATTTGAGGAGGGAAGAATTTATAAAAAGCAGAGAATAACTGCCTGGACTGTGTTAGTTTTGGTTTGTCATCTTGAAAGTGTTTGCTTCTGGTATTAGAAGCTGCTCACTAGCTTCTAACCCTCTGCTTATGGGCCTGCGGATTCCGGGAAAGTGCTGTTGAGGGGTGGGAACTGCTCTGCCTCCCCTTCCCCTAAGACTTTTGCTTCTCCTCCTATCTTGAAATTCATGGTGACAGAACATTAGAGCTGGAAGGGAACTTAGAGCTCATCCCCTCATTTTACAGATGATGACACTGCCACCTCTGACTTCTGCCTCTGGCCTTCCACTCTCAGTAAGAAGAGCCAGGCAGGTGAGACTTTTACCAATTGCTGGGCTGGGCTGGGTGGGGCTGTCTGATGGAAACTGTCCGATTTGTGAGAAAAATTTTTGTTGATTCTATGTTGCTTTTAAGTAGTTTTTTTTTTTTTTTTTAAAAAAAAAACCACCACAAATGCACATCAGAGCCCTGTCTCCTAGCATTTTACACAGATTGCAGGCAGGGTGCATTTTAACAAAAATTGTCTGGCATGTATATAAATTGGCCAATTTCGATTAGCACCATTAAAGAAAAAGTATTAGGCTTTCCCTTTAATAAATGTTATAGAGTCCAAGAAAAATGTCTAAATTAAAAAAGGAACCAAAGGAGTACCTACTTGCCAAAGCCCTCATGAATTACTAAGCGTTTTCCCTTATAGATAAAAGCAATGGAAAAGCTAGTATGTGAGACCCAGAGAGTTGGAAGATGTTAGAAGTGATCAAAACCTTAACAGAAAACACCCACCCCCACCAGTATTATAAAAGGGTTTGTCTCAGTTCTCTCAGTGATAGAGAACATAGCCCAATCTGTAAAGAACACAGCTACTGAGTTTTCAGGCATTTCTGAAAACTTAATTTCCACATCAATTAGTTTATAACTGTGGTTTGATAAGCTAAGTACTGGAAATAGCTGTTAAGGAGGGAGGTGCATACTGTTAGCTTTAGAAGTTCAAGGACTTTACATTTTAGGGGAGAACACTCTTTGCCTCTAGGTGACCTGTTCACAATGGCCTGAAGTGAATTCTGCAGGATGCGATTCAGCGGCCTAGTAAATGGACGCTGAGGTTTTCGCAGCTATCTCCCTAGGCAATGAGACTGTCACAAAGCCACGGTTCGCACCTGGCCTAAATCAGGTCCTAAGCCTCCCATCAAGACTTAAGGCACAATAATTTCTAGGTACTAAGTCTCTCTACCCACCCCACTTTTAAAATCTACTTATTTAGTGTATGACCGTCAGGTGAATTTCTTGAGGGCTACACTCTCCCTATTTACCTCCCAATAAGATAGTTTCAAAATACATTGAAATCTGGTTTGATTTTTCTGAAATCTGTCTCTAAGATGAAGACTATAACATGATTTTAAATTATTTCAAGAGTTGAAAGAAGGGTTAAGAACATGTTAGGGCATCTTTTTGATGCTCCTGTATTGATGAAGGGGCCCTGCCAAGAATATCAGTAATAAAACTGAACATTTGGAATTTCTTTATAGTGAGTTGAGAAAAAGAATTAGTCTGACTTAGAAAAAAATGTCACCTTTAAATGTCTGAGGTGCAACGAGAAACAAAGAGAGAAAAAAAAAAATCAATGGGGATTCAGTCTTAAAGTCTGGTGAGTGAATCTGTATGATCAGAGTGTTGGGTTGGTTTATACATATGACCTAGCACCCATCTGAGTTTTAAAAGCCCTTTGGGGTTTCTCTGGGGGTGAAGAACTTAAATAAATGCCGCTAACTGTAAAGTGGAAAAAAAAAAAAAAGAAAGAAACAAAACTGTACAGTGACCGGTGCATTTGAAAGTCTGTTTGTGGCTTGCTGTTCCTTTCTTGGGAAGCTAAAGTTTTCTTTTTTCTTGTAAAATTCTATCATTATTTTAATTGATATTTACAGATTTTCCCCCCCATCTTCTGTTACAATTTTTAGGTGCTTCAGAACTGGGCCCTTTTTCAGACCCCAGGCAGTTCCCAAGCATTTCATCCCTCACTGAGAGCCGCTTCTCCAACCCACGAATGCACTATCCAGCCACCTTTACTTACACCCCGCCAGTCACCTCAGGCATGTCCCTCGGTATGTCCGCCACCACTCACTACCACACCTACCTGCCACCACCCTACCCCGGCTCTTCCCAAAGCCAGAGTGGACCCTTCCAGACCAGCAGCACTCCATATCTCTACTATGGCACTTCGTCAGGATCCTATCAGTTCCCCATGGTGCCGGGAGGAGACCGGTCTCCTTCCAGAATGCTTCCGCCATGCACCACCACCTCGAATGGCAGCACGCTATTAAATCCAAATTTGCCTAACCAGAATGATGGTGTTGACGCTGATGGAAGCCACAGCAGTTCCCCAACTGTTTTGAATTCTAGTGGCAGAATGGATGAATCTGTTTGGCGACCATATTGAAATTCCTCAGCAGTGGCCCAGCGGTATCTGGGAACCACACCCCAAATGTATCAATATATACATATATAGAGAGGGTACATATATATGTATATTGATTAGCTATCTGCAAAGTGCCTATTTTTTTGAGGATTTTTTTCATTCACTCACTCAGTCATGATCTTGCAACCGTAAGAGGGTAGATATTGAGAAGTAAAAGGCCCAGGAGAGACAATCAGATAATCAGGTTTCAGATTGTTTTCTGTTTAAAATGTACTTTTATAAAAAAAAAAAAAAAGAAAAAAAGGAAAAAGTTATTTTTGTTGCTGTTGTTGTTTGGTCTGTTACCATAAATAACCTGTTCATATGCCAGTTCGGAGAGGTGGACTCCAGGTTCAGGAGGAAGAAGAGCAAAGCCGCTTCCTCTCTGTGCTTTGAAACCACACACCCTCACGGTTGCAGCTGTGTGTGGAGCAGTGCACTCTGCACCCCGGCTGACAGAGCCAGGCGCATGTCAAGGGAAAAGAGGCAGAATGGGTGCTTTCGTCACAGTCTGATCCATTCAGAATAACTGTTCCAAATTCTGCTTTCAGACTCACTGCAGGTACTCATTTGAACCATTAGGTTCAGTTTATTTTTTCCCTACATCAAGAAAGTGACTTCAAAAATACTGATCAGGACAGATTATTCTATTTTACTTTTTTATACTTTTTTCTCCCTTTTCCCATTTAACCAAAACGAAGTCCCATCCTGAAAACCTCCTTTCTCCTTTTATGCAAAACTGAAAATGGCAATACGTTATTATAGCCATAATGGTATAGATAGTGTTTTTGTTTGGCTGTGTGTTGTTTTCTTTTTTTTTTAAATTATGAATATGTGTAAAATCTGAGGTAACTTGCTAACGTGAATTGTCATATAACTTTAAAGATATATTTATAATTATTTAATGACATTTGGACCCTTGAAACATTTCTTAGTGTATTGATATGTTGACTTCGGTCTCTAAAAGTGCTCTTTATTAAATAACAAATTTCTTCAGTGGGCTAGAGCCATATCTGAAATATTGCTAAGCAATTTCAGTTCATCCAGGCACAATGTGATTTTTCAAAATACTTCCATCTCCAAATATTTTTAGATGTAGTTTTTTTTGTGATGTATGAAGGAAATGTTATGTTTAGTTCTTTGATTGCCTCTAACACAGCTTTGCCTTTTCAAGCAATAACTAGGGATTTAAAAAGCAACTCTTAGCCCTTTATCACTTACGTTGCCCTTTAACGGCATGAGATGCTGGAGTAATGTGGTTTCCTAATTTCTGTCAAATAACGATGACTTTTGTCATATTAAAAAGACAAGCACAAGTGAATCATGGAACTGCAGAAAAATATTCCGTGGTTTCATAGTTAAAAGTAAAACTCTAAATCACCAGGCTTCATAGTGAAGTCGTCGTCAGCTTAAAGCCACATAAGTGGCTAAAGGGTCAACCTTGATACACATAGTACAGGAAAGCAAAATTGCACCCGCCTTACCCAACAGTAAGTCAGGGGAACCCAAATCTGCCGTACCTAAGGCTCCACTGGCCACTCTCCACAGAATTTGCATTTAAAGGCGCAGAATTAAGTCTTTGTTTTATGGGAATCTATGAAGTAGCAAGCAAATTCCAGCAGATAGCTGACCTGAGAGAGCTAGAGCCGATGGGGCCCCATCAGATGACCTTTGACGTTTGCATTTCTCTCAGTGGAGGGGCGAGGGACAGCGAGGCTACGTGGAGTTTGGTGTTGACTACTGTGTATGAATTTGAGCTAATACCCTCCTGTAGGATGCACTTTGACCACTCCTGGTGGCCACATGGCAAATTCTCAAGTGGAAAACTTAATCTGAGCCAGGATCTTTGAGTGACACCACCTGGCAGCTCCCTGCCCTCCTCTCCCAGAGTTCAGGGCCCCTTCGTTTGAATCCTGGGCCTCCCTCAGCAGAACTCTGTAGAGATTTGTCTCCAGCCCCCAGAGGGCCCTTGCTCCTCCATCCATTCTCACCTCCACAGGCTGCTGTGCATCACAGGACCGCTTGTGGGGCAGTTGGGCCCAAACTTCTTACCTGGGAGTCTCCCTTGGAGTTCACCCTGACTCCTCCTAGTAAAAATCGAGGGGAAGCAAACCAAACCAAACCAAAACAAACCAAAACAAAAACACTTCGCCTTTTAAAGGTTGTATACCAAGTATGCTTAGATAAATAAGCCACTTTTCTATTACTTAAGATGGAAGTAGTAATTGATACTATTTATTGTTTGTGTGTGGTAGCTTGAAGCACGCCACTGTCCATTTATTTGTAAGTGTAAAATATGTGTTTGTGTTTCAGCAGCACTTAAAAAAAGCCAGTGTCTGGTTACACATTTCAATTTTAATTAATTGACATAAAAATGTTATCGCCAGTGCCAGCTGTACCCTATTTAATAAAAAAGGTACTATGTTTGTACATTATTTTTTAATGTTAAAAGGGCTTTTCTAAGTTTACAGTACACATACTAAGTGACTTTAGGGATGCTTTTGTGTTGAAATGTTATTATAGTGGCTGCAGGCAGCAACCCAGAAACACTTTAAAAAGTTTTTTTTTTCTTGGGAAAAATTCAAGCACTTCTTCCTTCCACCCTCATTCCAACCACCCCGATGGGGACAATTCACATTTCTTAGATCAAATTTCTGCCCTCTTTGCTGTGAGGGTTCAATTTTTCTTTTATCTTCCTCTCTCTCTCTCTCTCTCTCTCTCTCTCTCTCTCTCTCTCTCTCTCTTTTTCCAACTGAATCCCTAATTGAGATGTATAATTTGTGATTTCAAGACCAAAGCAAAGCCTTATTACTGCTACAGAACCATGTACTCATCAACACTCTGTTTCCTTCAGGTTCACACGGCATGGTTCTTATGTTAGAGTTTACAGCGTGACCAGCGCAGCCACTTTTCAGATCTGTTTTAGTTGTCTCACAAAAATTAACCTTGTCAGAGTTCTAGAACAGGTACCATTTGGATTTAGATGAGTGGAATGACATCCAACCTATAACTGAAAATGAGCAGACTTGCTCCTATTTGCTCCTTAGGCTGTCTTAGCCCACCTTAAGAAATCCACACCAGTAGGGACCATCCATTGCAATTCAGAGGGGAGGAGATGTTCATGCTGGCTTAGAAAGTTCCTCCATTCCCAGGAAAGGGACTGACTCAGAGTCTAGGTTAATACATGAAAACACAAAGCATTAGCAAAAACAACAATTCTATCAATGCTATTTGAAAAGAACAGGAATAAATAAATAAAAGAACTCTTCCAAACCTTGAATTTGTGTTCTTAAAAAGATAATGCATTTAAAAAAAATATTTTCTATGTGAGAATTTTTTAGATGTTTGTTTACTTCATGTTTACAAATAACTGTTTGCTTTTTAATGCAGTACTTTTGAAATATATCAGCCAAAACCTTAACTTACAGTAACTTCTTAGGTACTCGGAATAAATTTCCAATTTTTTGGATATGCTTTACCATTCTTAGATTTCTGTGGAACAACAATTTGTAGCATTTTGTGTAAATACAAGCTTTTCATTTTTATTTTTTCCAATTGCTGTTGCCCAAGATTTGCTTTCCATGCACATATTGTACAAATTCTGCTTTGTGCCACAGGTCATGATTGTGGATGAGTTTACTCTGAACTTCAAAGGGATGATTTGTATTGTATGTTGCAACTGTAAATTGAATTATTTGGCATTTTTCTCATGATTGTAATAATAATTTGAAGTTTGAATTTAATTTTCAATAAAATGGCTTTTTTGGTTTTGTTATGTGTGTACCTTGGGTCTTTTCTCATCCGCGGTTTCTTCTCAGTCTGACACCTGCTCCTGCCTACACCTGGGCACTTATTGTTCATAGGACTTGCCAGGGCTGCAGGAGAGCAGGATCCTATGTTACTGGTGAGAGGGCAAAGAATCTTGGTAAGCTCTGTCTTTTTGCTTGGTCCTACTCCTGGAGAAGGGTGGGTGAAGAATCTAGCAGTGAACTCACTTCCTTATCAGCCTGTGTCAGAAAGGAGTGTCACTCCCTCCTTGGGTTAAATCCCCCTCACTCCAGCTGTGAGGATCAGTCAGGATATATACAGCAGCCTTGATGGTTCTATGAGTCTCATCTCTGGGTACATGAATGGGGCCAGCAAGTGAACCCCAAGCTGTCGTCAGAAGATGTCAGATGACAAACCATACAGGGGTGGTTTATTTTCCTTCCCGTTATCTTTTTGTGGTTCTTAAAAAGAAAGTCAACCAAAGCCCAATGATGAGTTAAAGGCAACCTGGGCCTGGAGTGCTCTAGTCTCAGGGAAGTTCTGCTAGTGAACATAACCGGAATTCAGAAATGTTTTTCTGGACCAATGTTTCTTTTTGGTAAGTCCCTCCTCTGTGATAAGGTTGAGGGCCTGGGTAGGGTGATTGCTCTCTTGATGTCCTGCCTGTGCAGTCTGTGTGCCTTGGCTTACCACAGCTCTAAAAGAGGGCCCCGGAAACCATGGTTCTGAGAAGTGCAGACCCTGGCTGCCAGCTCACGTCTTGTTGAGGGAGAGAACTCCTTTAAGAGGATCTGCTCATTTCTTACCTCCTTGGCACTGTTTTCTGAGACATCTTGGAAACAGTTCATTTCTAAGCCTAGGAAACATCCTAAAAGCACTTGGATGAGCTTAGGTCAGGGAACTTGTTTGCAACTGTTTGAGGATGTATATTTATTTACTTAAAGGGAACATCTGTGTGACTTTAAAAGGCATCACATGGGAGGTGGACAGAGTGGCTTGCCTTCTCCAGCTTGTCTTAGAGGGAATCACAGTACTCCTTGGGGGCCTCCGTTTCTTGGCTTTTAGAAAGGCAGTAGGCTAGACCTCAGCACTATTGACATTTCAAGCCGGGTGATTCTCTGCAGTCCTGTAGGGAGTGTGATGTGGGGTGGTTAGTAGCATCCCTGGCTTCTACCCACTAGATGCCAGTTGCCCCACCCTTTGTGACAAGGAAAAATATCTCCAGACATTGCCAAGTGTCCCCTGGCTAGTAAAGTCACCACAATTCAGAACCACTAGGCTTGAGGCTCTGTCTAAATTCTTAGGCCAGGCTTTATTGATAGAGTTGGTTTGGGGATTCATTGCTTATTAAAACAGGATAGCCAGGCAGAAGCCTGAGGGACCTCCCGGTGTGGCTTCCCACCCACCCCCTTTTCCATCCCTTCACCTGATGGCACCCTGAGGTTTGGATGTATTTTGCAGGAGGCTCCTGGCTTTCTCATCTGCACTCCTTCCCTCCTCGCCACCTCGCGGGCTGGGCCATCAGTGACCAGCACAGCTATGGGGCTTTGCGAGGCCGTGGCTGCTTGGCCATATTTGTAACGGCTGCTTCTGTCTCTCACTGGGAACGACAGACAGAAGAAAGCAATTTCTCCAGTGTGTTTGACCCTTTGTGTCCCCGGCCCCCAAATATTTAATCAGCAGACATTTCTTTGAGAGTGGGTGTTTCCTGTTAACTCAATCCCAGCCGAGACTGGCCCAATAAACACCTCAGCTCTCTGTCGCAGAGTTTATTTGGCTGGGAAATGGGTATTGCCATGTAAACAGGAAGCCCCCTGAAGTTATTATCTGCAGATGCAGTTGAAGAGCCACATGTTTATATTTATGGGATTTGAAAATGGTCTGAGAAGGCAAGGGAGGAGGTAGGGGGAGCCCTCATTCACAGTCGAGAGAGCAGGTCCTACAGTCTCCAGGAGTGGATTTTTCATCCCTTTGGGAACTGGTTTATGACACAGCCAGGAGTCATGGCGGAGTGGAGGCAGTGACTTGTCTTGTTGGAACAAACAACCCCACCTGAATGCCAGGCAAGCAGAGGCAATCCAGTCAACTGGTCTCACTGCCCCAATTATTTGAAAATCATTTAAGAGATCTGTCCTAGAACGTAATGGTGTGGGGGCATTTGAAAAGATAGGCTTATAATAAGAACTGCCATCGCATGGCCTCTAGTTTTTCTTGGGAAGTTGAGGAATATCGCAGCTGACTGTCGTGGTGTTAGTGTGGGCCAGCTAACCCCTGAGATCCCAGAGTCAGTTTCTGAGGGGCCAGGAAGGAGCCTTCAGGCAGGACCTGTCCAGATAAAGTGCAGAGAAAGTGCAGGATGAGACAGCCTGAACTGCACACCAGGACTAGTCACTCAGCTTACCCCAATTCCTTCTCCACCTCTGCTCTTCCCTCATTGACTTTCTCCTCAGGTCTGGAGAAGGTGCTTAACTAAGACCAGCTGTAGGAACCGATAGATGAATAGCTGATGCGCTATTGGTTATGAGTTCTGAAGAAAAACAAGAGAAGCTCTCCCCTCTTTACCTTGCCACCATTCCTGGGTGCCTCCATTAGCTTTTTTTGTGACTTTCCAGAGGCTGCATAGCAGTAACCATTCAATCCAGCGGCCTTGGAAATGGAAGATTTTTTTTTTTTTAAGGTAATGATCAAAATTTAATGAAAGGATCCACTGTAGGTTGCAAAGTGTAACATACCAAGGTGTGAGTGTGTGGGTGTGTATGTGTGGGTGTGTGTGTGCACGTGCCTGAATACCTGAAGGGAGGGAGGGAGGAAAGGTGAAAAGAAATGCCTAAGCAGTTAGCTGTTCAGTGGAAGATGAAGCTCACCTCTTTCCTTTTCTTCTCTCTCTTCCTTGAAATAGCATTTATTTGCCCCAGGTATTTGTTCTGTTAAAAAAAAAAAAAACAACAAAAAAACAAACCCAAACACACACTATTGTCATGCCACAAGTGGTATATATTGCTCTTTTTCAGATAAGGTATTCAGAGGGTACAAGGGACACTGGGCATATCCCGAGATGGCAGGACATTTAAGAGGAGCTTGTTAATAATATTTGTCAAGCTTTTATCCAAAAGGTTTTTGTGACTCAACCAGCCTTGCTGTTCAGACATGTTCAACCAGTTGGAAAGCAGAAGGATCAAGTTTCTGGAAACCCACTTAACTTTTACTAAAACTTATTTTAATTCATTTTCTTATTGTTGCAATTTAAGTCTGGCCACTTAGTGGAGTTTTCTGAAAAACCTGGTTCATGTTTAAGCCTTTCAAACTTAACTCTCTTCTGGATTGTTACCTTGTTGTCCCCTTACCTGTCATTTTCATAAAGAAATGAAGACCCTATAGCGAAATGCTAAAAAAATAAATAAATAAAATAAAATAAAAATAAACAAGGGTGGGAACAAGCAGGAGTTCTTCCACACAAGCTCCTCAAGGAGTGGTCTTGTCTCAACAACATTAAATTGCAACCAGAATTGCAGCCAGGTCTCATGGGGGCATTAGGAAGTTTCTCCTGGAGACCCAAAAGAGCTGGAGTTAGCCTGGATGTGGAAAAAGTGAGTGCTGTAGGCTCCCGGGAATCTGGAGATAGAGGATACAGTGACAGAGCTTAGGGTGTTTATGAGAGATGGAGGTACCAGGAACTCCCCAAACACAGTTGGACACTGGATTGATGTAAACCTGCAAATTTATTACTTCAAAACAACAGAAAAGCAAACAACAAAACCACATGACATGCATAATTGTGGGAGTATTCATCCAGCAGTTTTATGATTTAAATCTCCTTGACATCCTTTGCTTCCTAAATTAGGTCATTTTTTATAACTCCATCTCTGACAGTGAAACAACTCTGACCAGTTTCACTTTCTGTTTCTCTGGGATTTTCTCTTTATTCTTCTGTCCCCAAATGAGAAGAGCCCATTGCGGGATCACTACATATTCTAGCAATGCCTTCCCCTCAATCTGTTTTCTCTAGAGTCATTTAATATTTAAATCTTGACAATCACAGTAATCTCTCCATTTTAGCAGTGTGTTTAGAGTCCTTTTGTGTATGGATTTGGGGGCATAGAAAATTTGACTCCTTAGCCACATCTTCTCATTAGTGGTTTCATAGATGAGAAATGCAGAGTGGTATTGAATACAGCGATCAACCACAACTTCTGGAATAAAAATTGTGAACTTGGGATGGAGGGCAAGATGGAGGGACCAACTTTCATTCCTCGTGGGCGTGAGAGGGCGAGAAGTATCCAGAGTGAAAGCCAGCAAGAAGTTAAGTGGTTAATAGGAACTAAGGTTTTTTATTGGCTAATAAAACCCCTCAGAGTTTTTCATATTATATGCTTCCTTCAGGCTCCCAGCCCAATGCTTAAAAAAAGAAAAAGATGAAAACAACAACAAAAAGCTGGAGCCTAAATACCAATGCCGTCCCAGTCTTGTTTACTTTTTCATTTCCGCAGTTGTTAAAAAAAAAAAAAAAAAGATTTTCCTTTGGTAGTTCAACTTGCTCACACTGCAGGAGTGGGTCAGGGTTTGAAGCACTCCAGTGATCCCTGACTCCCAGCGAAAGGAAGAAGGAGGCTCTGTCCCTCTGTTTCAGAAAAAGGAGACCACGATGCCAATGAGATGCCAATGACGGTTGCATCAGGAAATTTTTAAATGAAAGCCTTGGGGGGAGACCAGACACTGAACCAAAACACATCTCTGGAATCCTGAATGCAAATGCTCCCCGTCCTTTTATTGCCAGTGGTGCTGTTCTCCCCCCAGAGCAGGGTGTTCTTGTTTTTAATAATAGCCAGACCAGATGCTAAGTTCTCCTCGGCAACAGGCTGCATGAGTGAGAAGGCAAACAGCTGATTCCTGTTAAGATGAACACCAGGAAAATAAGCCAGCAAGTATGAAAATTCTCTGGAGGTTTTGCTTTGTAAACCCCTGTTTGGCAGAAAGATCAAGGAATC